CTCCCACCCATGAGAATTCTTTCAGGCAGTGGCTATCAACCTCTACTCCCTCCAAACTTGCTCAGGGGTAACGGGCTTGGGGATAGGGTGGGAGGTCAAATGCAGACCCCCTTGGAGTCTGGACCCTTCATTAACTTTGGAATTCCACAGGCCAGTGTGTTCCCAAGCCTTCTTACACTGAATACTCACAGGGAGGAGAGAGGTAGGCTCTCCATACCCGCAGACTCTGCACTAGAAAAACCAGGAGACAGGTCTTTGGGACACCCCAGCAGGAACCTGTTACTCCACACAGAGGAACTAACACCAAAACAGCAAACACTAGCTGGCCAGGACTAGAGATTCAGGGGCATTATGGTTTATAGAGGAACCCTGGGAAGCTGAGAGACAGACAGACAGACAGACAGACTGGTTAAGGAACTAGAAGAAGGTCGTACAGCTATCAAACAGCAAACCTTCAAAACCTGGTTAATTTCGCTCTGAAGACCGTACTTCTCCGATAGCTGCAGCCATCCATCAGAAAGGACAAAGTCCTATTTGACATGGCCATCTATGACGCAGGACATTCTGTGACTGTCCCTGCAGGCCAGATCAAAAGCCACCCAAATGGACAGTGCCCCTAACTGACCTCCCTGAGGGTCAGTGAGACCTGCACTCAGCACAGAAACACAACTTGCCTTTAGATTTTACTATTAGTCACTATCAGAGCCTAGGTAGACCCTTGACACACGTTTGGAAAATAAACCAGGGATACGAAGCCCTTCCTTCCTCTGCATTTCCTGTAAAATCCTCCCACAAGCACTATCCCCCTCACCTTGCTTTAAAAACCTCATGGGAAAATTACATCTTGCAACCAATTTTTTTCAATATTTCAAACCCAGGATTTGCTCCCTTCATGTAGACCAAGGACAGACTACAGTTATAGCCCATTGCCCATTCTTTTAAATAAAGTTTTATTGGCACATGCCACATCTGATTATTTACATATCGCCTGTGGACAATTTCCAGACACAAAGGCGGAAGGGAGAACACTGAAGAGCCATGTGTCTCCCAAAGCTGAAAATATTTATTCCTAGCCCTGGGGAAGGAAAGTCTGCCACGCATTCATTTAGACACAAATAGAACCCACGCTGCATGCTGTGCTTAGGAAACTCAGGGCTAACTTTGATGTGAAGTTTTTGTAATCATCTTTAGCATTTTTTTAAATTTCTCTGTACCTCTCTGTTTTGATATTCTAGTTCCACTCTCACATTTGGCTTAAAAATAGCTACCATTTCCTGAGAACACATTATATACCAGACACTGAATTAAATCCTTCAGTGTATATTCTTAGAATTCTCACAATAAACTTCTGCAGGAGGTAAAATTAACCTCCAATGGCTGATGAGCAGTGAGCAGGGAAAACAGTACATAAAGTTATCCACTGCACAGTGGGAATATTTACTATCTCCTACTTCCGTCTCTCATACATAGTAACACAAGGGAAACTTGGGGTGTGCTCTAAGTGTAAGAGAGGTAGTAGGGTCAAATCTGGAGCTATCATCAATTCAACCAGAATTACAGGATTGTAGGGTGCTGCTATTACTCTCCAGGAGAGCTGAGAACACTGGTTTCTTTGGGACCCTTGCAAAGGCGGCCCACTGTTCAATGTCTACACCCTAGGCAACACTGCCTGCAAATCAGAGAGGCCTCAGATGTTGATATTAAGGTTTAACCCAAACTTGTTAAAGTATTTGAAACAATTATTTTTATTTTTAAAAAAACTTGACCGTCCATAACTTGGAATCATCTCATCCAACACTTTTGAGATTCATGAACCTGCAAGCAGGAGCCCAGAGGGGAGCCTGATAGATCTATGCTCTCTTCCAAGATAACAAATGACACCTCACCAGGCAAAATGACTCACTCCAGGACTGTAAACACCTGCCCTGCTGGGGATTGGGGGATTGAACCCAGGCCCTTAGCACTGTACTATATCCAAGACCCTATTTTTTATTTTCAAAGTCAGCTCAAACTCGCCGTCTGCCTGTCTCAGCCTCTCAGAGTGCTGGAATTACAGTATGTGCCACACACCTGGCTTGAATGTCAGCTCTTAAGCAAGACCAGCTGCCCACTGAGAACACAGGAGAAAGAATGGCCACACCCCTCCTGAGGTGCAGATGCCCAGGGACCAGGCATCCAGCTGGGAAAAGGAGTCCATGGTGCTAAGCCACCCCCAGGAATGCAGGTGGGGGTAGGAGAGGATGTAACAGGGGCCCAGCGTGACAGCAGATGCCACCAGTCACTACGGTCTCAGAGGTGTGGGTAACAGAGCTCAAAGGTGCCCTCCACAAGGCCAAAAGCAGGCATCAGACGAGATCAGGCAACAGGCGCACGGGCTGTGAGCACAAGTACAGGCCACTCACACAAGCAGGGAAAGGGGGAGCTGCCTAGAGCCCCCAGCCCAGCCCAGCCTGCCCCGGCCAGCGGTAATGAGAGCACTGGGACCAGCACTGCAGCAGCCCGGCAGTACCACTCTACCTGGTGAGTCCCAGGGCCACTGAGCCCAGCCGGGCTGGTGCTGCTGGCTCCACCAGCCACGTCCCGGCCTCTATGCCTTGTGTGTCACCGTAAGCATCATCGTGTCCCCTTCCACCTCCAAGGATCCAGCGGGGCAGAGAAACTACAGGTCCTTGTGCATGCAGGTGCAAAGGCCCCCAGAAGAGAGATCTGCCCGAGGTCATAGCTGTGGGGTGGAAGCCGCAGCTCCCCGTGCCGGGCCCTGGGGACCTCTGAGGGTGGAATGGGAGCCACACTCAGGACTGACTGGGTTCCCAGGACTCATGCTCATCGCTGATGCTGTAATGACCCCACAGGGAGACAGCTCAGGTAACAGTGCCCCCCTGCAGCTCAGCGGAGCAGGTGAATGATGCCTTGGCTCAGCAGATGGCGGCTACTGCTGCGTCCTCATCCATGGCCACAGCCTCTTCACACACCCCGGGCAGGAGTCACATCTCTGACTGTGACCACTGACTTGTGGTTGCACTCCCACAAGGGGCAAGAGATAACCCCCGCCATCACCACCACAGTGGGGCTGTTCCAGGAAGGCCTGCGATACGACAGAGAAACAGCACTGCAGCCTGTGTGATAAGTGAGGTACAGGGTTGGACTGAGAAGGCAGGCAGGAGACCTAGGGCCCCCTCCTACCATCATCAATTCCCCCCCACCTGGGATACACTCACTACCATGAGCTCAGCCACATCCCCGGTGCTGAGGGTCTCTCCCTGCCACTGCCTGGTGCAGAACATAACCAGCACCATCTCCCCAAGCCACAGTGCACACCCAGGACACAGGCTTCCAGGTCCCTGGCTGCTTCCTAGGCCCATGCTGCTGGACACCAGGGCAATGTCTGAAACATTGCTCCCCCCAACAGACAAAGAAGACACCCAGGTCTAACAGCGCATGTTCCACCCAGGCATCATGCATTTGAAGAGCCCATGGGGACAGTCTGAGCCACTCAGCAGAAGTGGTCAGCTAAGCATGAAACACTGAGGGTTTGAGGCCTCCTACTCGGCTTCTCGTGTATAAATAGCCTTTAGGGGCAAGCTACATGACCCCCAAAACCTCAAGTTTGTCCCTGTAAAGTGGGCACCCAGATGCTGCCTGGTAGGACTATTGAGCCAAGCTGTACAGAGCTCCCTCCCTCCATGCTTTCTAGCAACGCGATGGGAAAATCCTGAATCACCATGATCTTGCCTGGTGAACCGCAGCACTCCGAACACTGTCCACCATCCATGGACCCAGTGAGCAGAGGGCTCTCGGCGGTCTCGAATCAATCACTTGCACAGATGACTGCAAACCTGTGGGGCAGCTGGGAGCCATGGGAAAGAAAGCACCCACGACCCAGAGAACCTCACTGACTCCCGGAACCCAGGAGAGCCTGCCTGGGAAGGTGCCCGGCGCAATAGAAGGAGGGACCCAATCACAGTTGGACCAAAGGCCCCACTCCGGGTGCTATCTCAGCAGTCACACTAAGTGGTCGAGCAGCCACTGCCCTTCAGGTGGCCCAGGACTAAGTAATCCTATCTTGGCACTAGTACCTCCAAGCCACCAGTCCGGACCTGATAGGTCAGGCCTTCTGCTTGCAGGCCTAGAACAAGAGTGTAGCTCCCACTGGCACAGCCAGCCTCTGCTGGCAGGACGCACCTCCCCCGGCCTACTGCCCACCTGCCCCTCAGCCTGCCCCTAGTGTACAATCGCCAGAGGCCCATGCCAAGCAGTGGTCCTGGTACAATGCCCAGGGCCACTCTGCAGCCAGCACGGCCCCAGCCACATGCCAAATGCCTGCCACATGTTCCCACATTAGTATCCCCTTCAGGATCCTCCTACTGCTGCTGTGAACCCAGTGTTATTTTCTTCACCCCTCCTGAAGAGAGAAGGGAAAGGAATCCAGGAGTCACCACCCAAGTCCCCCAAGATGCATGGGTTAAAGATGCAAACCTAGCACAGGCAGTGTCACCTAAGTCTCGCTGTTCTGGACCCATGGTCCTGCTGTTCCTGGCTCTGAGCAGGGACCAAGAAACTATGCTCCATCAAACTGCCACCGCCTTAATGCCTTAACCACTGTGTCTGCCTCCACCTGCACGCACAGCAAGAAAGCCAGCATGTGTCAGGCTCCACTGCGTCTTAGAGACACAGATGTGTTCTGAAGGCCCTGGCCTCGGAGGTACACACTCATGGTCTGCAAGGTGAAGACAGATGCACGATCGAGGAAGATCCATGGAGAGTAGCAGAAGGAAAAACAGGTCCAAACAAGGAATGGGGTGCCTCCCAGGAAGGATCCTCCTGTTTCTGTCACCTCCCCTCCAGCAGCTCCACAAAACACAAAGTAAGCTTGGAAAAGCCCAGCTGTTTGAACACCACCGACATCACAGCAACCAGCAGTCAGGACAGTGTAGCCAAAGCTGGGCATGCAAAGGACAGAACACACACGAGACGCTTTGCAGGAAAGAGGTGAGGCTTACATTTCAGGGACTCCAAGGAGCTGGTGGAGATCTCACAAAACGCCTGTCCAAGGCAAGATCAGAGAGCTCAGCCATGCCAAGCAGCTGTAGTCAGGTCCCCTGTGGACATCAGACCGGAAGCCTCCATGAGCACCCTGCCACATCTTCCTGAAAATACCTTTGGCATCCTGAAGGGCACCAGTGATGGTTCCAGGTCACGTGTCTGCAGGCATTCCCCCAGGCAGTTGAATCTCGCTGTAAATCCACTGTGCTCAGAAAACCTCTAGACACAGCTCTGTGCAACTGGCAGGCTCAGCAGTCTTGAGGGCATGTCTTTAATCTCCTCTGGGTCCAAAGATCAGGCCTGGGACAAGGAAAAAAGAAAGAGTAGCCCTGTCAGAATCACTGACCCCAGAGCAGCCAGGCATCTTTCCCTCTTTGTATTTGACCTGAGAAATGAAAACTGACTCCCACAACTTTGGCACTCAAATACAGGTGGAGCAGCAGACAACAAGGAGGCCATTCTGGCCTGAGAGGTCCCAACAGGAAGCTGAGAAGTTCGGGGTCACCCAATCAGAAATTATGTTCTTTTTAAAAACAACCGTAAAACCCCAGCGTGACTCCAGGCCCCAGACGCCACGTAGAGAGCTATTCACACATCCCTGCTGCACCTCTGGAGTGTAAGATACCAAGTGCTGTTCCGGCTGCAGATGAGACCTCTGTCTCCTCTACCCAAGAGAAGTACAGATAAATCTGTCCCGAGAGCCCAGGTGAGAGGGCCAGCATGGCCCAGCCACTCCCACCAATGGCAAGAAATGCCCTCCACATGCATCTGACTGTTCCCCCACTAAAAGTGCTGGCACCCCACTCAGTGCAAGGCCCCAACCACCCAGGCCCTCTTGTTCCCAGATGAAGATTTTGGGGCACAATGACTTTGCTTCAAACTAGTAAGAAAGGATCCTGACCTGAAGCTGGGAAGGAAGTCTGTCCCCTGTGAGTCCATCCGGAGTCATCTCGTGAGGGCTGCCTCTCCAGAATGGGCCGCACATACCCACGCGTGCACGTGTGCGCGCGCACACACAGGCTTATAAACTGTTCCCAAGTTTAAAGACAAATTCCAGAGATGCTAAGCACCTTCCCCAAGGTCATAGAGCTTTTTCTTTTTAAAGCAGAGTCACCAGCAGTCTGAATCAAAGGTCCACAAGTCTGGCCACTACCCCTGCTCCCATCAGTGACAGCTATCCCCACCGAAACAAATGTTCACAAAGTCAAAGGTTTAAACCATCACACACTTTATCTTACAGTGCTGGAGGCCAGCAGTTTGCCTGGCCAGGCTAACAGCAAGGGAACAGCAGGGCTTCGTTCCTTCCCGAGCCTCCAGGAGAATCCATTTCCGGGTCTCTTTTTCTGCATTCCAGAGATTGCTCTTCTGCCTTGGTTCCTGGCTCCCTCCTGCACCCCAAATCCAGCCCCACATGGCTCTGCCTGCTTTTGCTATCAGATGGCCTCCCACCTTACTTCCATGCTCAGGACTCTCGGTGGCACTGGGCTCCCTGCACAGGAGCCAGGAACACCTCCCCATCTCAAGGATCCAGCGTGGATCACACTGGCAGGATCCCTCTTCCCTCGAGAGGTACTGTATTCACAGGCCCAACGGATTAGGAGACGGATGTCCCAGGGCCAGTCATGTGCCCACCAGCCACTGTACTGAGAGAGCATCCATCAGCTGCCCTGCATCCCTCATGATAAGCAGCTGTCACTCGCAACATGGGAATCAGGATTGCTCCCCACAACCTAACCCAACCCAATGTATGCATGCGTGCACGCGCTGTGGCAGCCAAGAGGGAAAGCACAAAGGAAGCAAGCAGGTGAGTTTTCTTCTTAAAAATTCCACATCCTACTGCCCTTAGAGTTCTGGGTGCACTGAGGTCCTCAGACTCTGGCACAGGATCTGTGCAAGATGCCAGCTGTTCCTGGGCAACTGCAGAGGACATTCAGGAGGCCAGCGGTAGGTGACTACATACAGCATCGTACACCACAGCAGTGACTCATGGCGGGTGGATGTCCCACTGCAAGACAAGGCTCCCAAGCCTCAGACTCTAAGAAAGCCTCTGCATCCAGGTTGGTTTAGTGCCTACGTTTGGCTCTCTACATTCTGAAACACACCCTCACTTAAAGGAACCGGGTCTATAGAACTTTCTGTTGCTGGTAATGGTCAAACAGCACCTGTTGGACCAGTACTCCTGTGAATAAGCAGAACTCTGCAGAACTAGAGATTGATCCCAGCCTCTTCGCACTGAGCCACATCCCCAGCCTTCTTTTGAGACAAGGTCTCACTAAGCTGCTAAGTAGGTTGCCCAGGCTGAGCTTCAACTTAGGATACTCTTGCCTCAGCCTCCAAGAATGCTGAGATTACAGGCATGCATCACCACACTTGGCTGTACACATATTTCAGAAAGAAGATGGGGAGATAGGAGTGGGGGAGGGGAGAAGGAAGGAGGGAAGGAGGGAGGGATCCTAAATGCAGGACATCCTGAAAGGGATCTATACACCAGTGACTTTCCCACATTTTTGGTCACTTTCAGACTAAGGACAGACCCAGGTCCATACCAGGCAGTAGGTGGGTAAAACTTCATGGTTTTGGTGAATTGAAAAATCAGGACAAAGATCAAGATAACATAACAGCAGAAAGTGAGAAGAGAAATCTTGAAAAAAGGAGACCTAGAACAGCAAAGTCTCGAGTTCTGCATGCACACTGTGCCTGCTGTGTGGAGCCCGCCCTGGGCCCAGCTTATACACACCTAGCTAAAGCCAGGACTGAACAGAGAACTCCACTGCTACTGGATGCCAGCCAGCCAGAGCCTGAGGTTTACTAAGCGATGTTTACCAAATTCAAACATTTACTACGTTAACTGCTCACTGAAACAGAAAAGCAGCTCTTCAGAGGAACAAAACAGAATTCAGAATCTCTAATGTGTCACTTGCAAAGTTTATGACACAATTAACATTAACTCAGGATAACAAATAACCAAAAGGCAGGAGGGGTGGTGATACAATCTACTCTCAAGAAGCATAGGCTGTGATGGAGACCATATGAGTGTTCCCAGGTTGACCAGGTGGCTGGAATTAGCAGACAAGGATTTGCAGTACCAGCTGTAACTATGCCTAAGGATGTAAAGGAAACTGTGTATTCTCGCGTAGGAGAAAACAGGAAGTCTCAACGAGAAAAGAAACACTAAAAAAGCCAAATGGACATTCTACAGTGAAAGATCTCCATCAGTTCACTGGGCTTATTTAACAACAGACCCCAGAGCAGAGAAGGATGTGTGGGCTGGAAGCCGGAGAACAGAGGTAGGAACACAGCCCTCTGCGCCCAGGCCATCCTAGCGGTCTCAGTCCTCTGTGTCAGGCTGGGGAGGTGATCTTTCTCCTGCCTGATGACACCAAGAGGGCACCCCCTCTACCCCGTCCTGAGCAGGGACATGGCGACAAGCTGTCCTATGTCCACACCGCACAAAAAACAAACCTGCACATGCTCTGACGATGTTACAGAGATCAGTGCTCAGGGACATTAGAGTCGCTGTCCCCTCAATAGGTGTCATCCCTGAGCATTCTGCTTGAGAAATGGGAACTGGTTCATTCATGTGACAGTGGAGGAAGAAGAGGGACCATACTGACCAAGCCTCCCCCGCCTGCGGCCCCCACCCTGTGCTGGGTCCGAGACCTGCCCTCAGCTTGGCGAGCACTCAGGACAGAGCTGCCACGTGCAAACCCTGCATCCACTCCCAGGCTCAGGACTCTGCAGTGGCTCAGCCAGGGGTGGCCAGAAGAGCACTTGATAAATCAGTCACATACTGGGGGTCGAGCCGTCAGCCACAGAGATAGGGCTGGAAACCACAGTAAACAAGGTAAGACTTGGTCCAGCTTTCAAGGGGCTTTCAGGTACACAAAGAAATCCGCAAAGGTAACATACAGACAGTGCATGTGCACAAACAAGAGCACTTGGCGACATCCTGATGACAGAAGCTCGGGAAGAAAAGGGGGAGACAAACTATGCTGAACACAAGAGGCCCCAGGAGATCAGCACACAGGAAAACTCTGAAGGCTCAGGGTTGCTTTTCCCACTGAACCGATAGGAAGAAAGGCCTGGGGAAATCGGACTTGGCGAACATCACCCAGCTGAACACCGTGGCTGGGAAGGCAGCACAGCAGCGAGCAGATGCCTGGCACATAACCGTGAGGATGTCCATGACGGAAGGAGCTGCTTCCAACATGGCCAGCTTGGGGATGGCATGACCAGAAGCCCAGTGGAAAGGCGACACTGATCCCTGTAACGGCCAGCACTGCTGTGAGACGGGTCTTCCGCACAGACACGGATGCGAGTACAGCAAGGCACGTGCTCCAGGTATCCAGGAAGTGAAGAGTGGGACTCAGCCTCTGGGGTCTTTTGGCTTCACCACTTCTCTGGGCTGCCCTGGAAGGACCATATGGCAGGAAAGATCAGGACTAGGTGAAGTTTCAAGAAGAAAGGAGGAAGGAGGAAGGAGCAGGAGCTTAGCTGCTGGAGAGAGCTGGGCACCAACTGCAGGGGCATCCACTAGCAGAGTTACCAGCAGGCATGAGTGGGTCCCACCCCTCATCCAGCGGGGGTCTGTGTCGGAGTGGGCGGAGGGCATATCCAGCCATGGCCCGGCCTGGCCTACAAATCATTCCTGCCAGGCTCAGGAGTGGGTAGGGGCTTCTCCTCCACACAACCAGCCCCTGGCCTCTCTTCGTTGCCACCAGTGAGAAGGCCAACGCTCCCAGAACACCTCTGTGAAGCACCAGGTGGGATGTGGATTCTAATCACAAGCTGTCCTCCAGATGGATAGTGGACTGTGGCCCCATAAGTCCCAGGAGAGGACTGTCTTCACAAGAGATCTCCTGATGGCTGCAAAACAGCCTTCTTTCTCATGCACTAGACCAGAGTGTGGAAGAAGAGCAAGAGGAATCTTAGGAGAAAAAGGGAGGCAGACAGACAAGCAGGCAGCCACAAAGACAACAAGACGGAGTGCGAGGGGGAGCCTGCAGACCAGGGTGAGACTGTCCACTCCAAGGCTCACAAGATTGGGCAGCCTGGGCAGCTGTCATGTGGCTCTGCAGCCACATCATCAGTGTGGGTCTGCTTCACAAAGATGGCAGGGGGATCAGAGAGAAGCAACAGGAAACGCCTTCACCGAGTCAGTGCAACCTCCCGTCTCCTCCACGTTTCTCCTTTGTTAATGTGAAAGTGACCAAGACACTGACATCGCTGAGAACAGCTGTGAACATTTTCTTCCAATTTTTCTAAGATTTGTTTGTCTTTGCCCACAAAGTCCTATGAGG